GATGCCGACTTCTTTTCACACCGCTCGTTATACCTGTGAAATACACCCTGTGTTTTAACCAGGGTGCTGGGGGTATATTTATCGCGTGTATTGTCTGTATGAGGGGCGATGGTAGTGTATGCTTCTGTTTGTGTGTGTGTGCAACAAGGGAAGCAACACCCAGCAGAAGTTGTAATGCCAGTATTTTGTATTGGAAGGAAGTGCTGCGGACGTATTGTTTGATGTGGCTGATGACACGCTGTTTAAACCTGACGTTTTCGTTATTTGAAATAACCTTTTTGTATTGTTATTTATGTGTGTGAATGTACATCATAATGTGCATTGTAAAGCATTTTTTATTTTTGTTTTTGAATTATTGTTTTTTTTTTTATTTTTTTGCTATGTTGTGTTGTTTTTTTTTATTTTTTTTTTTCTTTAATGATGTGTTATGAATAAGAATATTTGACAAGTTCTTAGTTTTCTAAATTCTTTCTTTCTTTTTTCCGCACTCCGATCAGCTGATGAGTGTTCTTATTATCCCACATGCTGGGACGTATTACGGCCATTTTGAGTTCGCGGTGGTGCAGAGTGGACGGTCGCCGGCGCGATTGAACGTCACTGTGCGGGAATCTCAGCAGCCACTGCCAGTGTTTAGCACGAGAGACGTGTGGCCGTCGGGCAACAAACTCGCATTGCCGCCGGGGGATTATTGCGTGCGGGCGGAGTTGTTGTTGCCGCGACTCAGTGGGGCCTATGTGCTACTCGATGCAGTGGAAGTGCGATACCGCGTGCTGCAGGAGAAACCACACAAACACAAAACTCCCATGTTGACAACGGCATCCGTATCGACAGCATCTACCACCACAACAACAACTGGTGGACAGACATGGCGGGAAGAGGTCGCAGCAGGTGGTAGTAGTGGTATGCAGTATATTGTTCCTATGGTGAACGTGAATGGTTTTGTTGTCGTCTCACCGTCGCCTCACAATACATCAAACGAAAAGAGTAACAAGAGTTCGCGAAGCAGTACAACGGCAGATATGGCGTGCAGTCATGGGTTGTATCAACAGACTCTCTGCCATTCACGTGAACCAACACCCACACGGGCCCTTACAGTTTTATCTACACAATCGTCTTTACGAGAAAACCCCGTCGCGGCTCCCATCCATCTCTCCGTAAGTAACGGTGATGATGATGAACCATTGATGCCACTGCCGTACTCTGGAGTAGGGACAACATCTGCAGAAGGAGAAGCAGCACCTGGATGGATATGGGGATTGCCTCCAACTCCGGTGAATAATAATAATAATAATAATAATAATAATAATAATAATAATAATAATGACATTGATCCCATGGTGAGAACTTCTTCTGCTTCTACTACTACTTCTGAGCGGCTGCGTAAATCTATTAATAGTCAACATGTATTTCAAGAGTATAACACTCCAAAAGTTGATTCTTATCCTGCATCATTACGAGATCAACAACAACAGGAACGAATGCAGTCTGTGCATAACAGTGAAACCCCGGCATCCCGTGGACGTACACCAGCAGAAAGCATGAAAATTGAATCGCATATGAACTCTGCAAATAATTCTTCTGCAGCAATTTTGCATGGATATTCCTCTGCATCTTCGCAAAGGCAGGCAAGTGTGTCAGTGCCATGGCTAAATGAAGCTGTTGAGACGAATTCAATGAATGTTGTACCTCGTGAAGTTTATTCAAAAGTGAATGATCTTTCAGTACATTCGTCCCGTAATTCAACTCGTGCTGAAGTTTGGGATACGAATACCCCTGTGTTTTCTCGTAAACTAACACCTATGGGTGTGCATCGTGATACGACTCCTATTAAGGATTTGGATCCGTTTGTTGACCCATATCAACAGGAACAACAAGAACGAAAACAAAGTTGGCGCTCTCAGGCTGGAGAATCTGAGCAGTCTACAGTACCAATTCCATCAAAGTCATCCATGGAAGAAAAGAGAGTTTCTACAACGGTCTTTTCTGGAACTAATAACAATAATACCAAGGAACGTTCAGTGAATCAGTATAGGGTGAAATCCTTGAGTCCATATCATTCTAATGAGAAAAGTAATCCTACTTTTCTTATTTCCCCACCGGATATAATCGATAGACATGTACCTTTTTCCTTTACGATGACCCTTGGTCCTTTAAATTCCAAACCTCTATCCAGCACAGTATTTCTTAATGTATTGGTAGAGGAAGTAGTGGAACCAGGAATTGTACCAGCAGAGCCTGTGATTTGTGTGGTGCCTGCTACTCTGGCTGCAGTACCAACAAGCGCGAGAGGAGTGCGTACGGCGTGGGTGTGTTCACCCTCTATTCGCATGAGTGAACGTCGTAGAGTGATGGAAATGCTTAGTGCAGTAACAACAACAGATGATGAGAATAAACGTGTTTTGCTTAACGGTATGGCGATATCAACGGCGTATGTGGGTCCCGCCTGTGATGGTCAAGCATTGTCTGGAATAGAGTTTGTTATCGATACCTTTGAAACATCATCCTCATGGCAATTCTTTTTATCATTTAGAGAGATTGAATCTTTGGATGATGGTGAGGAAGAGGAGGAAGAAGAAGAAACTGAATATAGTACTGGACACAATACAGGAGTTGGATATGAAGAGGAATTTGAGAATAATATCAATGAAAGTACAAACAAGAATAACAAGTACAAACAGACATCGAACTTGGATGAACGTGCACTTGAAATGGAGGTGTTGTATAACTCATTGCCGTATATTTGCTGTTTCAGGGATGAAAGTAACGAAATGTTTTTGGAGGTGCATCGCAAGAATACAGTTGTCGCTTGTGCGTCTATCAAGAATGGTTCACATATTGCCATGTACTTTGGTACAACTGAGGTTAAAAATGGTAAGGGACACCAGTCGTATCTCTCTATTCTTGTAGATTACCGTACTGTATACTGCTATGCAATTCGGGGGATAAAAATTCCTGAGAAACTTCGTGTTATTATCATGAGTAGAGTTGAATATTCGGGAAAACGTAGTTCGGATGTTTCTGTGCGACTGTGCGAGATGGAGTTACTCTCACAACAACGCAGACTTTTGGCATTTGTTGATGAAGTGAACGTCAATGAGGCGAATAGTGCCCAACGCAATGGCAACAAACAACAAGAGGATTATCAAGAGGAATACAGTGGGGGGAAACCTGGGTGTATCTCTGCATGGGTGGCCGGTGAAAACCCTGGTGTGCGAGCATGGAAAAGTGTTACAATTGTTTAACATTGTGAATGAAGCACAACACCTAAAGAAAGAAAAAAAAAAAGAAAAAGAAAGTGAAAAATAATGAAAATTTGGGGTGTATCGATCGTTAGTTAACACGTACGTCTGTTATTATTATTATTATTATTATTATTATTATT